ATTTTTTTTTGTTTTCGTTTTCTTTGTTATTTGACTATAACTTCAACTTTTGCTTCAACTCGAGCGTTAGTCATTTGAAATAGATGTTGGAACCAAAGCAAGGATACGATTTTGTCTAATATTTTGTGTATGGTTGTGGCAATGCAATTTTGCTATTTCAGGTACAAACTCATTTAAAAAAATGAAAAAAAAAAAAAAATAAATAATGGTGAATTCTGTATAGAGCTTCTGGAAAAAAAGTTCAAAAGTTAGTTGTCTGCTATGCCATATCTTAAATCTGAATTTCGGTTATGAACGAATGAATGGTTTTTGGACGCTTAAGATAATATTTGAACAAAAAGTTTTGTTTGTATTCATTCGAAACTTTAAAATTGTAAATTATCCCCAGTGGATATTTTTACAGAAGGTCAGTTTAAAAATGGAAAAATTAGAAATGTATTTTTGGAAAGTTGAATTTTTATTAAATTTCTTAAAATATTGTGTTAAATGTTAATATACGCCAGAAAATTATTGATATCGGTACGGATCTTATTGTCGATAGCTGTTAACTTTTTGCAGAAAATGTGCAATGTTGCCACCGGTAACGGCATACTAATGGTTAACGATATGTTTTAACATATTTAAATACTTAAAATTTAAATATTATTTATTTATTATTTAAACTGTCAGGTGGTAATCTCGTCGGCGTAGTGAGGTAACCTCAGCTGCATCCAGAGTCTCCATATCGACCCACTAAACCTTATGAAATAAGAAGGGTAGATTTCTCCCTTTCCTGGGGCATCACGTGTTTGTTTGATTTAAATACTAAATACAATCCACTTGCATTGGCGAATGGGCTTCGGAGGTACTCGGGAATTGAAAGAAGAGTCTTTCAGTTGATGATCGGGAATTCAACGTTAACGATGTCTCGTAGGCAAGAGGTTGAAAGAATCGTGCACAATCGGGTGCGATGTCGTGTTGTTAACGGTTGATACTCGAGTGGTTGATGTGAAGTGGTATTAAAAGACGATGCGTGGGTGCCCGTTAGATGTTGACAAATCGGGAACTTGTGGATTATCGCTAGATATTGATTGGTGCGGGAGATCTAAAAGTACGATATTTATGTTCGGCAAATGTTGGCGTTCAGGATATTGACGATAGAAACGTAATCGGGAACTTTGGTCGTCAATTGTCGACGGGTTGAATGTATTCAGGATATACGATGTTTGTGTACGGAGTGACGTCGGCGTACGATATGTTGACGATTTGATGGAAATCGGGAACTGCAATGAATAGTCATCGAGCTGAGAGGCAGATGATCAGGGTTTTACTTTGTAAATGGTTGGGATGTTGATGTACAAATCGTCGTAGGCAAGTTTGGGAGTCGTGGTATAATCGTTTGAGGACAGCCGTTCACTGCAGATATACTTGGGTGAAGATTTCCGGGTCGTCTTAGGTGTTCTTGTTCGGCAGTTCACGGGTGCTATGTTCGGCAGCAGATGTCCAGACCTCCTAAGATGGATCGGAATTCTGTGGGTATGTCGGGAGCCGATGTCTAGGCCTTCACAGATGGATGGGGGCTCGTTCGGATTCGGCAGCTTCTTGCGTGTATGTCTGGGTTTAGCTGGGTTTAGGTTACTATGGCTAGGAAACTATTCTCACAAGCACTACGGTTTACCACTATCTCTATTTCACTACCAATATTTGAGCTACACGGTTCAAAGAGCCGAAACTACTGCGGAAAAGCGTGCTGAAGCTCCGAGCCAAAACTCCTATGCAAATCCTATGACTGGCTAACAAAATTAAAAAAAAAATATTCCCAGCTAACGATTATTTTTGTCGGAGGACAGAAAATGATTAATAAAATCTCTATCTACCCTTTGGCAAGACGGCTGTAGTAGCAAGTCTGTATCTTCGTAACCCACACGGAACATCATGTGTGACCGGCATTGACAAGTGAATAACAATTATTTGCCTTGTGCCTTATATAGTATTTTCAAACATGAAAATATCCCATATTAATAGTAAAAATTTATCAAATGAGAACATCGATTTAAAAGTCCAAATTATATATCCAATATAAAATCAGAAAGAGGTCAGGTGCAAAAATATTTTCAAAATCGGCCACTCTTTTTAGTATTATTCGTTATTATTTTTAAAATGATGACCATTTGTGGACCAATGTTTCCCATTGCATCTAGACTAAATATAATTTAAATATTGCTATTTTCATGAGACGAGATTTTTAAGTATTTTCACGCAAACATTTTTAACTTTTGTAGGGAGGTGATGAGTAGGTGAGTGGACCGAGGTACCAGAAAGGAGGGAACACTTAATTTATTATAATTAGAAATATGTGGATGGACAAAGTTTGAGGAAAATCGGAATCGTATCACATTTGATGAGTCTTATTATTATTAAAAATTTCGAATTAGTGTGGGGGAGGTAACTAGAAGGGTTGGTCCAATATTGTCCACATTCGCATCTCAACTAAATCTAAGTTTAAACTATTTCGGGCATTCCATTCTCTCCATATAAAATTATTATTTTTTTCAAAGTGAGTTTTCACTGAGGCGGTACCGGAAGAAGTGAATTGATATTATCCATCTCCGAATGTACTCTAAATTTAGTAAAATTATGACGATTTGTAAAGTTTGGACCAAATCGGATGCTCGCTTCGAGGGTTTTCGGGCACACCAGCTGGTTAGACCGACAGTAAAACGGTCGGCCCTGAAGCGGATTTCGTCCAACTTTAATATATGATACCGCTTTGCATAATTAGTAAAACCTCATATAACAAATAAAAAAAATAAACCAAATCAGGTGAAGCTGTGGATACATCTGAACCGATTTTCACCAAATTTGACATACATGTTTCTAGGCTCAATTTGGTTGTAAGTGCCAAATTCCATCCCATTTGGGCAAATATTGCATGTTATGTGCACAACGAAATTTAAACCGGACGAAGATATATGAGAGCTATATCCAAATCTGAACCGATCTCGATAAAATTTGGAAAGGTAATTCTGTGTTGTGATTGATATATTTCCCCAAATATAGTTGTTACAAAGTGCATATTACGGCTGCGAAGGACAAAAATATCAAATCGGGAACAAAAATATCAAATCGGATGATCAATATACACCTAAGTCTGTTTTTACACGGTCTTTTTGTACACGGTTTTGATATAACACGGTTTGAAAATTGAATATTTTTAATTTTTTTACACGATTTTATTCCATTTAGCACGATTTGAAATTTTATGTACTTAAATTTTTTTTGTCAAATTTAATTTTTGCGAAGTATGTTCATCACAAAAAAAGTATTTATGAAAGAAAAAAGTCTGAAACCATCGATAGTATCAATAGTTTGCGAACACAAGCTTAAAGATTTAAGTGAATTCCCCTTTAGCGCGTACAAACATTTTTTACTGGTCAAAGCAAATGTGAATAGCACAAGCATTATATATTTGATTTAATAAAATAGACATGAATTCTTGTTCTTAAAAATTCTTGTTTTTCACTAATTGTAATAGGTTTTAGAAATTAGGAACAAATCACCCATAAAATCAATGTCTTTTTTACACGGTTTTTTTTTACACGGCTTCTTCTGGAACCAATCTACCGTGTAAAAACAGACTTAGGTGTATATGAGAACTATTTCTATATCTGAAACGATTTCGATCAAATTTGGCATACTATGTCCAGACTTAATTTGGTCGTATATGCTAATATTACACGTTTGGTGCACAATAAAAGGCAAATCGGACGAAGATATATATGGAAGCTTTATCTAAATTTTAACCGATTATTTAACCCAATATCAAAAGGGTTCGTCCTTGGTTCAAAGAAATGACTTTTGCAAAATTTCATCTGGATCGGGCAATAAATGCGACCTGTTTGAACAGACAGATGGACGGATGGACCTGCATAAATCGACTCAGAATGTGATTCTATGAAGATTATCAAAAGGAACTATGGGTCTATCTCGTTTCCCTTTGCCTGTTACTAACAAATGCACATAGACATAATACGCTGCCCACCTTGTGGTGTAGGGTATAAATATATTTTTGACCCAGCTAATAGCTTAATTTCGTTTCTGCATTACATTCAAGTGTTCACAGCACCTCTACTAAAAGGGAGCTAATGTATTTCACTTTTTTCTTAATTTTTTTCACACCCGTAAAAAATTCTAAATTAAAAACCACAATCGTTGTAAGAAACTAGTCAATGGCGTTAATGAACCTGAGTTATTTTTATTCAGTTTATTTACACTGAACATGGAGCTGCATTATTTTGGGATCTGTTTATGCAAATGATCTGAATGCAACTACTAACTCTGGGATAAAGTGAAAAATATAACATCCATTTGGTTTGTCTTGCTTTGCAGAAAAGGGAGGGGAAAAGAAAACATCTCCGACAATTTTGGCAAAAGATAGTTTTCTGTAACTGTTTTATTTGTTGATTTCTTCGTCCTCTTTCTGTTTATCCTTCGCTGATGCAGTCCGTGCTTAAGAAATATTGGTAAGACGTTTTTCAAGAAGAATTTGTTGTTCGGCATTCTGTGTTCTGACATTTGTGTTGGCTTTGGCATACACGTGCGAAAATGCAATTTGCATTATAGCCAAATAAAATAAGTAACAAGCTTTGGACTTTGTCTGACTGGCTGGCAGGATTGTTGGCTGGCGACGACGAATTGAATTTTCAAACTTTTGCTCATCTTTCACCTTTTCACAGGGACTTGAACAAGGCTTCGGGGAAGTATAAAAACTTGACTGTCTGGAGGTAATGCAGAAGATTTGCATTTAGCATTTATATTGATTTATTTGTGTCGCTCTCCTTCTATCTTCCTCTCTTCCCCTGTCTGAATGTTTTTCGTCTTGTCTCTTGACCTGTTGGTGTCTACATTTTGTTTGCATCTTTAATGATTATATTCTGTTAGTTTTCCTTTATTTTCTGTTTTTTGCTTTGTTATTTGTTTTCATATGTTTTTTCGTTTTTTTTTTTTAAATTTCTTTGCAGCTGAAGGTGCTGATCCCAAAAAAATAATGCAGGAAGCCACCACTGCTGTTCACATGCGTTACAACTTCTTTGAGACAACCATACAAATTGAGGATTTCACACCCGAAATGGAAACCTGCACACAGTGCACCGTGCCAGAAGTTTGAGCTGATGATGCCATCAAACGGAGATGCTGTGAAGGGTTAGTTTTTGCTGCCAGCTTCGTTATTAACTTACACAACATATACGAGTACGATAGCTGCTGCTTCGTCAACAACTTCTTTCATTTCATTTCAAGCAAACAACAACAACATCAACTTAACAGCAAAAACTGACATCCTTATATGTGGGGAGACAGACCGGCGATATCCAATTCACTCAAACACTCACTCACACACACACACTTTGGAGACATTACACACACATAACATTTCTTCAAAATGTATATTTCATAGGAAAATGCAGCCATAGCTGAGACTTACATATGTATGTCCCAACAAAAAGAAACCTAATATTACACATAAGAGGGTCTCACGATTTGTTGTGAGAGATTACAGAAAAATTAAAACTAAAAATTCAAAAATGGAAAAATTGCAAATTTCAATTTTTTTAAGGAAAGCAAGGCTAAATTAAACAGTTAATCTAAATTGAAATATTTTTATTTAAAATATATTTATATTTTTCAATGATTTTTAAATTTTTAATGGAATCTTCGAATCTACTGTTTTTCTTACGAAATTTGAAATTCGTAGTGCTATATTTGAAAAATTTGAAATTGGCATTCGATATGTCATAATTTTTCTGTAATGCTCATATGTTGCTTAATTTTGGGACAGCCTGTTTAACTAGTTTGGAACATACAGCGTGGCTGCATTTTGACATTTTTACCATTTCCTTGTGAGTTGTGGTACTAGTTTTCGTTTTGTTGAAATTAAATTCAACAAGAGGAAAAACAAAACACAACATCACTTTTTCTTGTCTCCCCCTCCCTCTCCTTCCCTTCCCTGCCTTTCTATTCCCAAGTCAATGTGTTAAATTGCAAGAAAATTATATTTCTTATGTTTTTGTTTTTTATTGTAGTTTTATTTTCATTTTCTTATTGCAGTTGTGTACTCTTCTCGTTTTGTTAAACTAAAACAATGGTTTAAAGAAATTTGTTACAATTTAAGTTCAAGCATTGTATTTAGTGAACAACAAACTATATTTGCTTGTTATTTTGTCTGTTCAGTTATTTATGTATCTATGTATGTATGTATGTATGTACATTTTATATAAAATATATATAAAACTATACCGAAGAAGAAGTATTTTAATTTAATAATTTTGTAAAAGAACAATATTATTATTACTGCCCATAATCAAAGATTATTGCATACAAAACGACCTGCATATGTCTTCAATTAATGGCAAGCAAAAATGAGCAAGCAACAACAACAACAGCAACAACTGAATAAATTTCATTTTGCAAATCTATCTACACAAATATGCATTAGGACAAGCCAAATAAATGTATACATACATATGTTATTACATTGTGTAAAATATAATATTTAGATTGTTTAAAAGGAAAATTCCATATTCTTCAACACAAAATAACATAGATATAGGATAGATTCCACACATACCTTCTTAACAAAATATGTGATTGTGTGTGTGCATTCAAGGTTCATCGAAACCATAGCAATAGAATGCTGCAGCATCATAACTCAATAAAATGAAAGTTTATTAAATATTTTATAAGGATAAATATTATTTGTTAATAATATTTTGCCTTATGATGGGGTGGGGGTTTGGTATGTAAAATAAGAATTTTGTTACTTTAATTAAGACAAATTAAATAAATAATTAAACAATAATTCCATATTCTTGTGTTTTTATTTAATTAAATGACATTATCCAAAAAAGAAGGATGAAAAATGTGGTAAATCAACAATTTTGGTCGGCTTGGTGGGGTCCTTTACTCGGCGAAAGTTGATTTTTGCATTTTTTTAATTTTGATTTCCTCAAAGAGTGTAAAATCCAATATACCAGGCGAACAGAATTCGCAGAAAGCTCTCTGCAAATTGGATGTATGTGTCACCCTGTTGCTTCATTATCAAATATGGCAACTTTCAAAGTATATTTTCCGGCGCCTAAATAAAAACAAATGTCCATTTATGTAAGTAAGGGAATGCTTTAATTTATCTTCCCTAAAGTATGCTTTGGAATATATTAAATTAAGTACGGTAATTACTGGGTGTTTCAAAAATGCATATTTCCTATAGCGCTTCCTAAGGAAGACGTGCATTGAGTTCAACTAACAACGTTAATTTCTTAAAAAATGGATTAAAACGAAATAAATTTTATTTGACAATTAATAAATTTATTTTTTATTTTTATTATAGTTTAGAAATAAAATTAGCATAATAATTAAATGATTTAGAATTTATAAGATATGTTTGTTGCCATATACAGCCAAGTACAGCATCTCTTCACCGACATCTCCAGAATGTCTATGGAAAAAAAGAGAGAGAAAAACGTATAGAAATAGGTTATTTAAAGTTTAAAAATACAAATATTTCATTTGAGTCATTAAAATAAAACACAAAAATAAGATACAATTAGAAACTAGTGAATGTATTATTTAAATATTTTGCACTTTTAACGTATTCTGATACACAAATCTTATTTAAGGCATCTCTATAGTAAAGTAGTAACGAAACCAAATAAAAATTAATTTTTAAAAATAGATTGACAATATTTTTCGAATCTAAATATATTTTGAAATTTTTATGAAATATGCATATAGAACATGTTATCAGAGATTAGTAATTTTCTTTTCTTTTTTTTAGGAGAATTTTCAATAGCAAAGGCATAAATAAATTCAAAGTAAAATATACACTTTTCCTCTGATCTTAAAGAAGGCTCGTCTTATACTTTCAACTCAATATAGAATTTTTTGAATGGTGTTTAAAAATTGTACAAGATATTGAAAACAATTAAAATTGGCATGTGGGTGTGATTATAAAATTATACCTATGACAATTTTGACTTTTTGACGTGAAGTCGAATTTGAAATTGTTATGAATTTTATAATAATTTCAAAGTGGAAGAAATTTCGCCGCAGTGCCAATTTTTTGAATACGTAGGGAACTTATATATCAGAGAGAACTAATATATGATTATTTCTGAGGTCTATAAAATATCTGGTACCAAATATCATTGTTATCGAATGTACAGGGTGAGATAAAAAAACTGCAACAAAGTCAAATACCATAGTTTTTAATTTTTTTTTTAATTTTATTAAATGAAAGTAAAAAACTCCAGAAATAGCATCTAAGTTTAGAATAAGTTAAGATTTGTTCGAATTGGTCACCTTTGGCACGAATTATAGCCCTCAAACGGCCAATGAAACCGTCACATGCAACTCGAATGTTGCTCTGCGGTATTTTGGCCCATTCCCGGTTAAGCGCATTCTTCAGGTGATCGACACTTTGGTATTTTTTAGTGCCAACCTTGGTTTCCAAAAATACTCCAGTCCAGCGGATTGGTATCCGGAGATTTTGGTGGTCATTGTGCGCTGGAAATGAAGCGAGGAACCTCATTTTGTAACCATTCTTGGGTGGCGCGTGCTGAGTGCGAGGGTGCTGAGTCCTGTTGGAATGTCCAAGGTCTGCGGACAAAATGTTTGAGTGCCCAAGGCTCCAGAATATTTTCGCGATAACATTCGGCATTTATTCTGTGCCAAGGTCGATTAATACGAGCAAAGTGCGACCACCAGCTCTTATGGCAGCCCACACCATCACCATGGTTTGGTTACAAACTGCTGGACAACGAATGTTTTCTCATCGGAGAAAACCAAACTCGGCAGTTCACCACTTTCGGCCAAGCGAAGCAACTCTTTAGCTCTTTTGAGTCTATTTTCTTTCTGTTGCGGTGTAAGTTCTTGGACTTTTTGGAATTTCAATGACTTCAACCCGAGCTCATTTTTCAATATTTTCCGAATATTGCGATATGTTCAGCTCACGAGCCGTTTTTCGGCCACTTGTGGTTTTCAAGCCAAATATAAAGAAATCACACTATCACACTTGAATTCCATCATGAATAACTTTTTTCTTGGAAAATTCTCACTAGAATGCTTTTGTACGCTTGTAAACAATTTAATGAGCTGTGACTGGGATAATTTTAACAGGGGCTTAGAAATGACAGCAGTCTGAAGTCAGTTGCAGTTGTATCCTGTATATTACGAATGTGAGGGACTTAAACACCAAATCGGATGAAACATATATATGGAAGCTATAGCTATATCTGAACCGATTTTCACCAAAGTTTGATTTACTTTCTTCTAGACTGATATTGGTCATTTGATGCACAACTAACCGGTTGAAGATATATTTGGGAGCCATATCCAAATCTGAACCGATCTTTATAAAAATTGGCAGATGTACTTCTGGGATAAATCTGATATCTGGTACCAAATGTCATTGTTATCGAATGCATATTACGAATGAGAGGGACTTATACACCAAATCGGCTGAAACGTATATATGGGAGCTACAACTACATCTGAACTGAATTTGTTGTACTTGCTTCTTAACCGAATTCGGTCTGATGTACCAAAATTTAGGACAATGCAATGGTGCTTAATTAACACGAAATCGTTTGAATATATATGGGTGCTATAACTAAATCTGATCCGAAACAAGCAAATATTGTTTGGAAAATTTCATCTCTATTGGATAATAAATGCGACCTGCATTTTGTTCACAAAAATACATGGACAGACGGACTGGCATGCATAAATCGACTCAGAAAGTGATTCTATGAAGATCCTCAAAAGTAACTATGGGTCTATCACGCTTCCTTCTCCATGTTACAAACAAATGTACAAAGACACATTACCCTTATATAATAGAGCTAAATATTTAATTAACAAAAATTTGGCCATTTTAGACATCGAGCAGTAGTATTTTTTTTAGATAGTCGATTTATCGACGGAATCAATGCATTTTGAGCCGCTATTTGAAAGAAGTGGAAGTTCAAAACAATAATTGTTTATCCTTAACTGAAAGGTGAAAACTCTCATGCTGTACCAAATTACATTACAAAAACCATTTGTAACTTATATTAATCTAAAATATAAAAAAGAAAATCATTCATTGTATTTGAACATATTCGGGGGATTTGTAACAAGAATTTCACATGCTGACAATAAATAATGTATGTATTTCGATTATTCATTACAAAATTACAACTTTTACATGAGAAATTTCCTATGATGCAAATAAATTCCGCAAAAAAAATCTTAATTAGATTTCGCGATTTGCTACGAAATGCTAAGAATCCAATTCCCTTTTGCAGCTGCCATTTTGATAAATATTTCCACTTCGTAGATCATTAACAATTGTCATTTGTAGATGTTGTAATGTGCGAGCGGAGCAAACAAAAACAAGAAAAAATTACATATTGCATTCAAGGTAATTTGTAAATTCGTTCAAGGTGTACAACGCCTGGCTGGCTGACTGGTTGGTTGTTGGGCCTATACTAAGTACATTTGTGGTGGCATCATCACGACAATCCTTGGCAATACCTGGCGGCAATATTTTTAATGTTTTCCCATTTGTTTTCACACGAAAATAAAGCTCATAATTTACCATTACATGGCCCGAAAAATACCATTACGCATTAATAAATTCGCTCGAAATATAACAAACGACACAAAATATATCACATTTGCTAAGCGCCGCCATAGCAGCAGTGTTGACACTTAACAACACACATACACACACCACACCGCACACACACACTCAAACGCACTCACGCATACCACCATAAACATGTGTAGGGCAATTTGTGTGTGAGTAAAAGCGAGGAAAGTGCATAAAGCTCTGATGGTGTCGTCATGGTGTCTAGAAGTGTCGTACACATGTGGATGGTTGTTGTGTAGCCAATGTCAGGCCGTATGGATGGAATGAAGCTAACCCTGCCAGTTAACCTAACTCATCATCACCTTCATTATCCTCGTGCCGGAATGTTCATGGCCATCTTCATCATTATAGTCGCTACTATCATCCTCAGTCAACTGCCTTAATGTCATACTAACTAGTACCCTGTAAACACACACAAACACAGACGATTCATATCATAAGCTGTCGATAGCAGGAGATATGTATGAACGAACAAGCCATGGTGTCAACCGGAGGAGCGGCAAAGTGGAAAAAAACCATAGAAAACAAGTGCTTTGTGAAATTATTAACATTTTGGTGCGACGCAATGGTATAAAATTTTACTTCACGCACTAATACCAATTTATGTGTTATGCCTCTTTAGTCCTCAGTGCCGAGCGGCGTTCAGCACAATGTGCATTAATATCACTGTGTCAAAGTATTAGTTATGGCGACGACGAGACAACACAACAAAACCGGATAGTTGTTTTGTATTTGCTATACACTGCGAATACAGTTGGGTTAAGAAGTGTGTGCGAACCACGGAAATATCGTAGATTAAAAAAAAAAATAGTATTTAAATATAGATCTTATTAGAACACATAGTGGAGTTGGGAAATAATATATGGCGAATATTCAATACATAACGTCAATATCATGTTTATATGTTCCTTTTTTCATTTTTGAGATACAGGCAATTTTGAAGTTTTCTTTTTGAGTTTTCCGATATCTTCCCTAGTTTTCTGGATATCCATGTAGCTAATTTGCAAGCAATTTAAATGATTATATGAGTAGTAAATAATATAAAGAAGTAAAACTACCAATTCAAAATCAGTATATAACCTAAACACCTCCAAATATGTGTCGGATACCCCATAAAGCATATGCATTCGTGTTTAGCATAAAATTCTAAGTCGATTTAACGATGTCTGTCTGT